CCTTCTAGTATCTGAGACCAACATTTTTTTACTAGGGCTGTCTGAAACATTCTGAGAATTTGTTTCCAACCCCTTAACACAAATCAGCTGTTTTGCCACAGGGTGTGTGTGTGTGTGTGTGTGTGTGTGTTTATAGAACAAATATAGAATCATAGAGACTCTGAGTATCATCTAGTCCCACCCTCTGCAATGCAGGAATATGCAGCTCTCCCATATGGGGATTAAACCTGCAACCTTGGGATTATCAGCACCACACTCTAACCTACTGAGTTATATGTTTCCTTAGAGCTGGGACAACATTTATAGGAAGTTCTTTTTTGACCAATCATTGGTCAAAGGTTTCGGATGCAGATGGTTTATGCAGCTTCCTACAAGCCACCCTTCCTGCCAAGCCTTTGTAAGGTAAGTGCCACCCCCCTCCTGAAATTTATGGGGAAATTTATTTTCCCCAAGAAAGCAGCACAAAATCCACCCCCCCCCCTATTATGATTGAAGGGCATATTTTCAGGAAATTGGGATGGGGAAGAAATTCAGAGCACCAAAACTATTTGATTTTTTCTGGAGTTTTTCTGCCAACTCTTTAACCAAAATTATAATCATCTACTTGGCAGGATGCAGACACCTGTTGAAGTGTTTTCAGCAATATTTCATAGTGGAGAGTGTGGACTCCCAAGAGGATTGTTAGTATGAGCATAGGTGTTGCAATTCTCTTTGAAATGTAAGGAATCACATATTTATTAGTCTTCTTTATATGAAATTTCTTTTCCATATATAATCATGACATTCTAAAATAATTCTTTTATCTGCTTTTTCTAAAAATCCCAGCAACAATGGAGAATCAGACACAGAGCACTCACTTCATACTCATGGGCTTAACAGACCAACAGGAAGTTCAAATGGTCTTGTTTGTTTTCTTCTTCCTCCTCTATCTAGTAACTATGTTGGGCAACAGTACTATTGTGTGTGTGGTGGTGACTGAGACCAAACTCCACACACCTATGTATTTCTTCCTCGGTAACCTTTCTTGCTTGGACATTTGCTACTCTACAGTCATCCTTCCCAAGATGCTATCTGGATTCCTGTTGGCTCATCGAAGAATCTCCTTTGTTGGATGCATCACCCAGCTTCATTTCTTCCATTTCCTAGGAAGCAGTGAGGCTCTTCTTCTAGCTGTCATGGCTTATGATCGCTATGTGGCCATATGCAATCCATTGCACTATCCAGTCATTATGTGCAGACGTGTGTGTATTCTACTGGCTGCCACAACTTGGACTATAGGGTTCTTTCATACCCTGATGCACACAGTAATGACATCCCAACTTCATTTCTGTGGCCCCAATATCATCAAGCATTTCTTTTGTGATATCAAGCCACTACTGAGACTGGCATGTAGTAGCACACAACTCAATCTTAGTCTCCTCAATGTAGTCACGGGCTCAATTGTCATGATCCCTTTCTTCTTGACACTCCTTTCCTACCTCTATATCATCATCTTCCTGTTACTGAAGGTCAAGTCACACAGAGGGAGATGGAAGGCCTTTTCCACCTGCAGCACTCACCTCACAGTTGTAGGTTTGCTCTATGTGCCAGTTTTGTTCAATTACCTCCCTCCAACATCAGGAGACTTACCTCAGAGAGACATGATAGCCACCCTCATGTACAGTGTAGTTACATCTTTCTTAAACCCTTTGATCTATACCCTGAGGAACCAGGATATGAAGTCAGCTCTGAGGAAAAGCCTGGGGAGATTGCTGATCACTGTGAGGATACAGCTATTGATGTGAAATCTATTTCTCAGTTTGTAACACTGTCAGCTGAAATAGGATTGAACAATCTGATAAATGATGCAGGCATGTAATGAGAAAATAGGGTTTTGTTTCTGGTATTGAGAAGTGCATGGTGGAGGAAAGAGATAAAGAGAAATACAAGCCCAGACCCTGGTTGCATTATCTAGGGCATTCCACTTTACATTTGCCCTTATTACATTAGATGATGAGGACATATCTGGCAACCTAATCCACCATGCATTTTCTTGGGAGTTCTGCCTGTCCAGTGCGCTTCCCTGTGCGGAAAACACTGCTTTTCCCTCTGCGCAATCTTCTGGGAAAAACTTCACCTAAGGCAGAGTAGTAGGGTAGCAGTGGTTGCCTTCGTGTGTAAGAAGAAGGAAAAGAGAGTCCAAACACTGTACTTCTATCTACAGCGTTTATTTACAAGCAAAGCAGCAAATTCCATCAGAGCTAGAACACATAAACTAAAATACACAGACATGCCTGACTTCTGTAGAAGTCCCTCCCAGGCACAGGGCATACCAGAGGTTAACCCATTAACCACCATACTCCACATATTTTATTTTATGTATTTTATTTCTTTGTTTATAAAACAATCTGACCTACCTTTGAGTTATGTGGCCCCTCCATAATTTGGGCCCCAAGCTGCTCTGTATATATTGAGTCTCTGTCCCATATTCTCTATAACAGGGGATCCAAAAACGGCTATAAAATTCCAAATTTTGGAAATTTGTAGAGACAGGAGCTCCTGCAAAGTGGCTTAAGCCTGCCAAACTGCACACAAATAAGCCCAGATGTTTTTTTCTTCGGGTATATAGCACTGCCTGGCTGTGGTTTTGTTGCTGTTAAGGCAGAGAAACCTGATTTTTTTTTCCAGCAGCAGCAATTGGAAAAGTGTTCTTTTAAAATAATGTTAATGATAATAAAAATAAATCCAGACATGTTTAGTGTTACAGAGGCAACATTCAACATTTGGATACCCTCACTTCTTGCAAAACATGTGGACTTAAGGAAACAGAAATATAGGGAAACATAGAGTTAGATAGAGCTTATTAAGATCATGTTTCAACTGGGGAGAATGCCCCCAAATCATCCAAATTTACCTTCTTGGGAAGCTTCTCTCAGCATTATGATAACAATGGAAAGGTGGAATATACATTCTCTCTCTCTCTCTCTCTCTCTCTCTCTCTCTCTCTCTCACACACACACACACACACACACACACACACAAAGTGCATATCCCTTAATTTTCAGGCTTTATTTTCTAGTCTGAACTATTGCTTGATCAACAGACCCTCTAATAAACTTGCCTGTGAACCACAACAAGTTTCTCCTCTGTTTTTATTCTTCTTCAGTTTTATTCTTCTTCTGAATAATTTAATCAAATATCATCTTGGAACTTTTACTGGAATTGTTTGCAAGAAAAATATTATTTTTGGAAGAGCAATATTTTTTCCAATGTTCTTATTCTGGAGCACCAAAGCAATAATTTCACACACACACACACCCTTTGAATTCAGAAAAAAGAATTGCATTGTGAATAGTGTTTTGTTGTTTCCTTTTCAGCCTGCTGCACAGTGCCTGTTACTTAGATTTGTGGACAATCACAGATATAAACTGGCAGCCCTGAGTAGCCTGACTGATTGACCAGTGATTGGAAACCCCACAGTCTATTGTTCTCTAGCATCATATACCATCTGGATTCATGTTTGGTACATGTCTTTGGGGCGTGCCAGTTTCAGAGCCAAGCTGTCATGTTTATTAATAGGTTAATTTGGCACTTCATTGAGTCACTTTTGAAGGTTAGATACAGGAAGGGAAACAGTTAAGTTTCAGGTAATAACCTATTATTGGCACCTTTAAAGGTGAAGAGCTGGCCTGATGGTTTGCTCTCTGGGCTATGGGGCCCTGGTGTGGGATGGTTAAGTTCTATACTGCTCTACCCAGTATTTAGAGTAAGTTGGGTCACTTAAAGTCCAGAAGGTTAAAAGGCTGTTTAGTGAAGACAGAGATAAAGAATAAAAATAAAAACAATTTTCTGGCAATAGTTAAGTAGTTAAGAAGGAGCGAGTGGTTTTGCTGGTTCGCTTGCCTTACTTCTTTCTCATTCTATATATTGCAGTCTGCAGTGCCTACTGATGTTCATGAGAATTTTGGTTCTGCAAGCCACCAAGGTGGGAATGGATGGTGATTCCATTGCTGCAAGAATATTATGGAAGTTGTGCAACTAATTCCTTTGTCACTTTTAGAAGCCCTTTCTTAATTAATGTATTCCACATCACTACTACTACCAGTTGAAATGGACTGAGTAATTGGTCTCCAGTGCATATAATAATATGGTGTGGGACTCATGAAGCCAGTTCTTATATACATTTTGCCTCAAGGGGCTAATGTGCCCCTGGCCATTACAGCTATAGAGATATAACTACTTTTATTTATAGCACTGTATTGTTAGCTACATTTCAGCAGCATAAGCACTTGGATAGGAGGTACACTGTCCTTCAATGCATCTTCAATAGAAATTCAAACAGATCGGTAAGTTTCAAGTACGGACAAATGTTGAGATCAAACATTCAGAAAATATCTCCAAAAAGAGAGTCAAAAATGCATCAAAAATAAGAATCTTAAAAATGAGAAAGGGGTAAAAATCCAAATTGATTACTGTGAATGCAAAACCTGTAAGGATGTGATTAAATTGGTCCGTTTTGTTTAGTGGGTTAGATCCAGATTTAATCTTGCTTAGTGGAGATCCATTGAAATAAATGGGATTTGAGGTATTTAGCAGTAATACATGGAAAAAGGCATCATGCATATCCCTACTAGAGGCTGCAGTGGAGGGCTTATTCACACTTGCTTTTCCTTGACTCTTTCTAGGCATGGACCACACTTTAAAGCTCCATGTCTGAGTAGCTCTTCTTTTTGCTCTGGACCTTTCCCCATGAAAACCTGCTCTTAAAGCTCAATCAGAGCAAATAGCAATCCATGGAAAACTCAAATTGATTGAGCACTAAAGAGCATGTTTTTTTCAGGGAAAGCTCTGGGGCAAAACAATAACACTTAGACACAGAGTTTTTAGGCACAGACTTGTGTCTGGAAACAGTGGGGTAAAAGTTAAATGTGGATAAGCCCTGACAAGACATTTCAGTTATTTATGTTGTGTCCTTACTAAAATCTACAGGTTTTAACAGGCTACCACTTCTGTGAAAACAGATGAAGAACCAGACAGAAGTGAGCCAGTTTATCTTACTAGGCTTGACAGATCTCCAAGGACTGCAACCTTTTCTCTTTCTACTCTTTTTGATGTTGTACCTCATCAGTCTGCTAGGAAACAGTATCATTTTGTTTGCAGTGCTGACTGAAGCTCACCTCCACACACCCATGTACTTCTTCCTCAGCAATCTTTCGTGCCTGGACATTTGCTATGCTACAGTCACTGTGCCCAAGATGCTGGCAGGCTTTATATCTGGACCTCAGTACATTTCCTTCAGCGGATGCCTAACTCAACTCCATTTCTTCCACTTCACTGGAAGCAGTGAAGGTGTCCTTCTGGCTGTTATGGCCTATGACCGTTATGTGGCTATATGCAATCCTCTGCGTTACATTGTTATTATGAACAAATGCACATGCCTATTGCTTGCAGCAGCTTCTTGGGGCACTGGATTCTGCCATGCACTCATGCACACTGTGATGACCTCCCGGCTGCACTTCTGTGGCCCAAACCTTGTCGAGCACTTCTTTTGTGACATCAAGCCACTGCTGAAGTTAGCTTGCAGTAGCATCCAGCTCAACATCAGCCTTCTCAATACAGTCACTGGCTTAATTGTCATGATCCCATTCATCCTCACACTCTTCTCCTACCTCTATATAATATCTTTTCTCCTTCTGAAGGTCAAGTCAAACAAAGCAAGATGGAAAGCTTTCTCCACATGCACATCCCACCTCACAGTTGTGCATTTGCTCTATGTGCCTGTTTTATTCAACTATTTGCCTTCCTCGGGAGATATACCACTGTCGGACATGATATCCACCCTCATGTACAATGTAGGTGTCTCAGTATTAAATCCCCTTATTTATACCCTGAGAAACAAGGAAATGAAATTAGCCATAAGGAAAATACTGGTAGCTTGTTGCTGTCAAAAGGTGAGATGACATGTCTTCCTGTTTGCAGAGGCCGATAGGTGAAATGTGAGAGCAATAGTTCAAATGTGAGGCTGTACAGTGATATAGCATCTTCTTTGGATGCAGGGGGTCTCAGATTCAATCACCAGCATCTTCAGGTAGGTCTGAGAGAGAATCCTACCTGAAGAGAGTGGCTATGGATCATAGACTATGACTCCAAGATTTCACTTCTAGTCAGTTCCAGCCAGCATTCAGCCAGCATTCAGCATGAATGTGTGCATATGTGAAGTTAGGATTCTCTCCACCCTGCAATGTGCATCACATTACACTTTGTTTGGTGGCCTGGCTAGGGGGCAGGGGATTGAGGCGCCCCTCAAGCCATCCCCTGGCCATGTCACACTACCCGGCCAATCAATGCGGCAGGGTGTATGGCCATGGGTGCTTTAAACCGCAGCACAGTTGGGGCGCTAAAGCCATGCCATGACCCCAAGGGGTACTGCTCGGGGTGGCCCTATTTGATGTCAGTCATAGGGTTTCCCCTTCTGGTGTTTTACCATTAGATTGACTCTCTGCAGACAGGCGGGAGTCAAAATATAGTTGGGATTCATCCAATGCCTAAGCCAAACCACTCACATCTGTAACCAATAAAGTTTTGGCCTGTTTTAGCCCATTAACCTACATACTCGTGTCTGTGTGTTTATTAATCAATAGGTAACTGTGGGGCACGGGACTTTGGCACACAAAGCATGAGAATTAATTTCAGGGTTATTGGTTTGAGCCCCATGTAGGGCAAACGATTCCTGCATTGTAGAGGATTGGACTAGATAACCCTTGTGGTGTGGTCCCTTCCAGCTCTACAATTTTAAGATTCCTCAGACAATCCCCAGAACTCTACTCAAAGACTGACATTCCACCTCCTATAAAGGACAAAAGGGACTGTGATCTGGGCACTCTAAAGGGGACTTCCATACTCAAATTATATACGGGGTCAGTGAATTATAATGTGAATGGAAGTTATTCAGGGTGATTTTGCTGGAAGTTAAAAGCTTCATTTACCTTTTTTAGTTTTATTTATTAAAAAACCAATATGGGATGGGGGCTTCCCGGAGCTTTTTAACACCTTTTTATTGTTATGCTTTTTGGAGGATGGCCCTTTACAGTAGATATGAAGTTGCTAATGCTATGCTAAGAATATGTGGAAGCAAGAAAACACAGGAATCTCTGAAAGTTGCTATATTTTGCTTCTCTCAGTTCCTCTAGTATAAATTGTTGTTATAACTATTTTGATTAATATGCTGTTAAAAAAATATGTTTACTGTACATTTTAATGATTGATGTTCAGATGACATTGATTTACTGTGCATTGTAATTACATGTGGCTATATCGTAGCATTGGTTTTGTAATTACAGTAAGTCATTTCAGTGAATGATGCCAGCACTGATCATTTGTATGTGGATACACACACAATTTTTTTTAAAAAAATGTTCCAAGCCATTTAAATGCTTGGGACCTGCACAAGGAGGAATCATCAGAGTTGATAATTGTGCCCTCATTCGAGTTGGGATTCCACTGACCAGTTAAACAGTAATTGTTTTAGCCGACCAAAGTGAGAACCTAGTTGAAATGGAATGCATATAATAATTTAAGGACAGATGTTTGCTCAAGCGGGTAGACATCACCAATTACTTATAAAATCACTCCCACCAGAATTTCATATGAACTACATACACAAGCAGAAAAAAACCCAAAATATGCACTCATGTTCTTTTTTTGCCAATTAGTTGTTCTCTGGTGTTCAGCTCAGGTCTGAATATAATAATGTAGCATTTTGGGGAAAAGATACAACCTAGTAATCCAGCACCAGAGGACAAGATGGAAAAGATCTCCACAGCCACCATGTATTTTCCTTTGGTGCTCAGATAGGTGGGAACAAAGGACAACCAAACACTACAATACACCAGCAAGCTGAAAGTGATAAATTTGGCCTCATTGAAACTGTCAGGTAACTTCCTGGCCAGGAAAGCCAAGATGAAGCTGACAATGGCCAACAAACCCATATAGACTAAGACACCATAAAACATGGCCACTGAACCCTCATTACATTCAAGTATGATTTCCCCATGCAGCGAGTGCATATCCGGTATCTGGGAATGGAGGGGATGTACTTAACCAAAGAGTACCAAGGGAAACCTGAATAAAGGAGCAGGAAAGGACAATAGAATTTGCCAGCCTTTTCCCTATCCATTTCCTCATCCTGGATCCTGGTTTGTTTGCCATGAATGCCAGAAGCACAGTAATGGTTTTTGCCAAAACACTGGAAAGGGCCACAGAAAAGATGATGCTAAAAGTGATTTGTCGGAGAAGGCAGGTCACCTTTTGAGGCTGTCCAATGAAGAGAAAGGAGCAGAGGAAACAAAGCAGGAGGGAGATGAGAAGGATGTAGGTGAGAGTCCGATTGTTGGCTTTGACTATCGGAGTGTTATTGTGCTTCATAAAAGTCCCAAGCACAAATGCTGTGATCAGAGAGAAGATAATGGTCAAGAAAACTAAGACGTGTCCTAAATCTTCTTTATAAGAGAGGTAGCTCGGGACCTTGGGAATGCATTGGGTTTGGTCATGGTTGGGATACTCATCTTCTGGACATTTCACACAGGTATCCATATCTGAAATAAAGGAAGAGCTGTTAAAAAGATTCTGACATTGATCAATATATAGCTAAAACATTGTTCTGAAGGCACCCCTGTTTAGGTTTGATGTTTTATTGTGTTTTTAATATTCTGTTTGGAGCCATCCAGAGTGGCTGAGCAGACGCTCAGTTGATTGACGGGGTATATCATCATCATCATCATCTTAACTTTTTCAGGGTCACCATCCTCAGAGAAAAAAAATCACATAAATACATAAACAGAAAAGTTTGCATTCAGTTTATTTAATTGCTTCAGAAATGTATTTTTCCCCACATAGACAGAATCTAAAAACCATCTTCACAACGTTACACGTTGTTTCATGCTACAGTTAAACATTAAGTTGTTCTACTATGCTGTCAATTTATAGTGGTACCTTGGGTTACATACGCTTCAGGTTACGTACGCTTCAGGTTACAGACTCCGCTAACCCAGAAATAGTACCTCGGGTAAAGAACTGTGTTTCAGGATGAGAACAGAAATCGTGCTCCCGCGGCGCGGCAGCTGTGGGAGGCCCCATTAGTTAAAGTGGTGCTTCAGGTTAAGAACAGTTTCAGGTTAAGAATGGACCTCCGGAACGAATTAAGTACTTAACCCAAGGCATCACTGTATTCTGTTCTTTGTTTGAAGTATTAATCCTATAAGCGGTATCCTATAAGCGGTATTATCAACGTGGAGAAAATAAACGTCAAGGCTGGGATTCCACAAGTGCAGGCTTTTCTATGCTGCCGTGGAACAAATGTTCCACAATAAGTTCTCACATTCAGTATTGTATATTGAAAGCAGAAATGTCCTATATTATGTATTTATTTAAATAGTTAATAACCTGTTCTTTATTGAAATAAGATTATAAAAATCAATTAAATTAAACAATATTAAAAGCAGAGTATATTGATGAAATGCCAGATGGTCCACTGGGAAAAGGTTCCTTTGGCTACCCTATTGGGACTGGAAAAATCAAGGAAAGACTTTCAGTGACAGTGGAACCTGGCAAAGGATCTTCACACCAACCCTGTGAGGTTGCGTGGACTGAGAGATAGTGATGGACACAAATTCACTCAGTCCCACACTCTTTGAAACTCTTAAAAATTAATTATTAGGTTTTTGGTGTGTTTTTTGTTTACAATTTTGCATTGCAAACTACCTTCATATGCATTCAAGGGGTACACTTTATGCTGTGTTATGGAAATGTGAATAAGATGATTGTGTCAATTATTCCTCCCACCTTTATACTTAGAGATCATCCTTTCTGGACATGAAGCACAATCATAGCAGCAAAATTTCTCTCCTTCCTTCTTTTTCCTGCTGTACCCAGGATAGCAGTAGTCATTGCACACAGAAAGGGGAAGCACCTTATAGAGAATCATTATAGAGAGATTAGTAATGAGAGCATAAGAGAGCACAAACAAAAGCAGGTTGGGATAATAATAATATAATAATAATAATTATAATAATTTATTATTTATACCCCGCCTATCTGACTGGGTTTCCCCCCGCCACTCTGGTCGGCTTCCAACAAAATATTTAAAATACAATAAAATATCACAGTTTAAAAACGTCCCTAAACAGGACTGCTTTCAGATGTCTTCTAAAAGTTTGTTTCTTTGACATTTGATGGGAGGGTGTTCCACAGGGCGGGCACCACTACCAAGAAGGCTCTCTGCCTGGTTCCCTGTAACTTTGCTTCTCACAGTGAGGGAACCACCAGAAGCCCTTTGGCGCTGGACATCACTTTCCAGGCTGAACAATGGGGGTGGAGATGCTCCTTCAGGTATACTGAGGCCGAGACCGTTTAGGGCTTTAAAGGTCAGCACCAACTCTTTGAATTGTGCTTCGAAATGTACTGGGAGCCAGTGTAGGTCTTTCAAGACCAGTGTTATGTGGTCCAGGTGGCCACTCCCAGTCACCAGTCTAGCTGCCACATTCTGGATTAATTGCAGTTTCCAGGTCACCTTCAAAGGTAGCCCCATGTAGAGCGTGTTGCAGTAGTCCAAGCGGGAGATAATTAGAGCATGCACCAATCTGGCTAGACAGTCCACAGGCAGGTAGGGTCTCAGCCTGCATACCAGATGGAGCTGGTAGACAGCTGCCCTGGACACAGAATTGACCTGTGACCTGCGGACACAGAATTGACAGCTGCCCTGGACACAGAATTGACCTGCACCTCCATGGACAGCTGTGAGTCCAAAATGACTCCCAGGCTCTGCACCTGCTCCTTCAGGGTCACATTCACCCCATTCAGAACCAGGGAGTCCTCCACACCAGCCCTCCCCCTGTCCCCTAAAAACAGTTCTTCTGTCTTGTTAGGATTCAGTCTCAATCTGTTAGCCACCATCCATCCTCCA